CTGGCAAACCAGCATAGTCAAGGCTAGAATAGGGCACAAATTCTACATTAAAAACAAACATGCCCCACCCTCAGCTCAAGGGCCACATCTCACGGCTTGACCACTTCTTTGATTCAGACCAGTGTTTTGCTTCGGTCTTAATGTTCCTTGTTAAAATCTGCACCCAAATAAATCTCAAGGATATATTTATTGCATACTACTCCATTTTAAGAAAGTGGGCAGTACAGAGTATTTAGGCAGTTATGCAACAAGCTCTTTAATCCTCTGCCTGGCAAACACATTGCAGAACAGAAACAGAGCTCTCAAAGGCTGCTGCTCCACTTTGATTAGTGTCTCTGGTCACTGAAGTGCATCATTATATGTCACTCATATCATCTACATATACAAAACTGCTGACTAACTTCTCTAACAGATTAGTGATGACTACGAACAGTCTAGTCAAATAGCCAAATTCTGATTTTAACAGCTAGTGGGAAAGGAGAGGAAGAATTGCCCTCAGCGTTAAATATACAAATTGCAAACTTCAGGTGGCCTAGCAGAAATTGTTGTTAGCCAACAGTAAGTTAGAGAAATACAGGCCCTTGTAATTCCCAACAGATTCCTTCTACACCTTTCGTGTGGATAGAACAACTTCTTTTCAGCTGCTCTTACCCACTTTTTTGTCACATTGCTGTAGCACCAGTGGTCAGGCTATATCATGGGAACAATTTAATTGGTCAACAAGTTGCTTCATGCCTTTCTTTTTCTCATAGATTTCCAACACAGCAAGAAAGCCAAATACAGTTTAGGAAAATTGTTTCAGCACCTCAGCCTACCCTATTGTTTTGCTCAAGCATATCACAAGTTTCTCCATCCTGGAGAGTGTATTTCAAGTTATGAGAAAGACAGACATGCAGGTCACTCATATGAGCAGAGGATACATCAGAATAGAAAGTTGCCTCCCACATCTCTGATGGGATGGGGTAGACATCTGCAATGTGACACCAAGAGTGCATATCTCTCCTGTGCCCTACTGTACACCTCAACAATGGAGATGCAACAACACATTTATAGGGCAGGGCAGCAGCATACAACTCCCAACTACATCACAGTAAAATTACATACCCAATCCAAGGGCAAAAGGTCAGTCAGTAGAGTGCTAGAGAGCAAACTTCCCAGGTGGCATTATGCCTTTCACTCAGACTGCTCAAATGTGCTGAAATATAAATGCTTTGTAACTGGGCCAACCAACATGCTTTCTTTCAAAACAGAAGAAAGCTGGACCCATCGCCTGAGGTAGGTGCCAACATGCAGATGAAGGATACTTTCACTGCCTGCAGCAGATGTTGTAACACTTTTTATCATTCCCCAGAAGCCAGTGGGTTTGTTATGCACTTCTCCTCTCTGGAACATTGTTCTATGAGCCACTGCTATCCTGAAAGAACAGAAAATACAAGTCCTTAGGAATAAAGTATTTTATAAAACACCAAAATTTAAAAACACACCCAAGAAGCAGTTCCTTAGAAGACACTGTTGAACTAAATTCACAGCAAACAGATGCCTCCTTTTTTTTTTTTTTTATCCCCCTAAGCACCAATCTTGCTTCATAACATTATCTTGATTAGCTCTGGAGTAGAGCCCAGATGTAATCAAGCAAGACTCAATGAGACACTTCCCAAGATTTCCATTCTGGATCCTGCTTCAATCCTTAAAGGGGTTTAAGCCCAATTAAAAATAAAAATTCAAATGGATTTCTCAGTCATATGATTAGTCGTTTTCCTTCCCTCAAACGCATGACAGTGCTATCTCAAGTTCAGGAACTGGAAGACTTCTCAGGCTGTCCTCTCCCCTTGAACACTTCTTTATCACTGCACATTCACCTCCTTTACAAAATTTTGAGAGCTGGATGGTATGCAGCAACACTCTCTGATATGCTGTCACTCACTACTGAGCTGCATGACAAGCTGTTATTAAGCAGAAACACAGAAATCCTTTATTGGACTGAACCACTGGATGCTTCAGGCGACCTGAACATGACTCCTGAAGCTAATTCCAACACTACAGCAGCAGCTGCATATTGTCCCTCACACTCTTATGTGCACTGCAGCATAATCCCCATGAGCAGTGCTGGCCTCTGGCCTCATTCCCTCACATTTCTCCCCATTGAATTTTGTGAGCCAGTTATCCACTCCTAAGCTGAAACCTATTCACAGGATTGTGAAGGCAATCCATGATTCAACAGTGTTTAGGTCCTTTCTTGTAGCTGCAGCCAGTATTGCTACATTTGGCACTGAGCCCTCTTCAAGGTTGTTGATAAGCAGTGTAATAAAAGAAGAAAAAAAAAATAATTCCTTCACATCCAGAAAAAGAAATAACCTTGGGGCACTCCACATAACAAACATAAAAGCACATATGGCCACAGAATACAAATAACAGAGATCTTAGAACAATTCAATTCATCCTAATAGCTACCAAATATAAGAATTGCATTTTTAATCCTCACTTCCTTCCTAGTACCAGTTTCACACGACCCATCCCAAATGACCCACAGCATTGCAGCAAAATGCAACCACATCAAGGTGAAGTGCAAGGCTCTAAGTATACAAAGACAAATCTCATATTTCTTCTGAGAAGTGACAGGGGTCTCTGTACCCAGACAGTAGTTACGAGTTCTGAAGACCTCACAGAAATGATCCACAGGCAAAAAGCACACACTTTGTTGGTGTAGATATGTTATGTATCTACTACAGATAGGCTGATTTGACTCTAACATGAAATGGTGTCACAGAATCTAGGCATCTCAAACCTGAGGCTTAATAATGTCATAGCTGCAAGGATGAGTATAAAGAACCTGCCAACCTTAGAGAAGTTTCCATAAGGCTTTACTTTATTACATTCACGCAGGAGAAAACAGTAAATCCTGTGCAAAAACTGTCACAGAAAACCACTTTCAACAACTATCTCCCACAGGCAAGTAAGCCAGTATGAATAAGGGTTGGTATGAGAAGAAACCTCAAGACCAGCTAAGAAAACAAAAATAAGCTTTATGTTCTATTGCCTTATAATCCTTGTGTGCATTGAGAAGTTCTGACTTACCAGTAGTACTGAAAAGTTGGCCATCAAGTAACGGAGATTTTACAGAATGATAACATTCATGCTACGCTGTAAAATACTGCTATTCCCACTTGTTCTGCTAAATTACTTGGATTGCACTTGGACTGATACAAAATTAACTTTTAAAGCTCTACTTTATATGAGCAAATAGCCCAATTATGGGCAAGCCACTGCTCCACATCAAAGCAAAACCAGAAAAATGTCTACAGAACTGGAGCTTCTCCTACTTCTTGCACATTTCTGAGACTACAGTTTTAGGGTTTGTTTTGTTTTGAACACAAATACATGAATGTAGCAATTCAAAATGGTTAGAAAGATTCTATATTGAAAAGATCTCCTGGCCATAGGAAGACAAGAAAGTGCTAGTCAGTTACAAGTCTTAGATATCCTTGCTTTTAGCCCATCACCACCCTCCCTGAACCAGAGGTCCAAAAATGCTGTACAAAAGAGCAGAGTCAGAAGCAGCACTATACAGTATCTTTTAACTACTAAGCCAATATTTTAGTATGTTCCTAATCTATTAAATCAATTAAGAATTAGTAACTAAATTCTCCCACTACTTACCATCTCTACACATGACCACAAATACTGAGTTAAAACTCACTGACCACTTAACTTTTTCAAAGGGGAATAAAAAACGTTATGCTGTAACTACATCTTGATATGCTAATACCAATCAGCAGATATGCACACTGGTGATTAATTCAGAAAGGTTAGACTACCTAAAAGCTCCTGTCATACACAAAAAGGTTCCATTAAAACATCAGTACACTAAAAGTAGTTTGGGGTACTGCTGTGAGAATTAAGACAGTCAAACCTTTGAAGTGACTATGGTAATTGTACTTATTCTGCACAACTGGTATGGCATGCAATATGTAATTTGTTACAGCAGACAAAAATATTTTAAGTGTAAATAAAATTACACTGCACTACTTCCGAAAGTAGCTTTTTCACTTGGGGTACATGGAATAAGCTAAGCCAACAAAAGCAGAGCTCTGACAGCATGCTTGTGCAGTACACTATGCTCATATCAACAATGTTTTGCAATTCTGCAAAACTTAACCAATGTAAACCTTGACATTTGCAAATATATAGCTGCATCCACACCAGCTCACTAGCCTGCTTCAGCTTTGACCAGGAAACACCACATTCACAGAGCAGAACAGAGTTCAATGCATTAACTAATTTCTGTACTAAAACCACCAGTAAGAGCCAGGTGCACTGACTTAAGGGTCACTTACTCATCAGGAAAGAAAGGTGACCATCTTACAGACTAGTCAAGGTGCCAGCAGAGAGTTATTATTTGTCTTTGAAGCCTAATCCATACCACTGCAGTAAGAAAGGGTACTGTGTAGTAGTCATGTCCAGGAAAAAGACAAAACTGTGTATCAGGACAGAATGAAACACCACATACCTCAACCCAATTCGGCCACTTGTTTCACTAAAACATATAGCCCTGACAGGACTAAAAATTTTGGTAATTTCAAGAGCCATCTTATACCAGACTGATTGAAAATACCTGAAAAATAACTTCACACTACTGCTGCCTTCTCACCTTTTTTTCTTGCTAACAATCATGTCCATAGTCTGAAGGAGTCGTCGCTCCAAAGCTAGAATATCTGCATCTGTCACATTCCTGCAAAACAAAGACACCCAATTAGGCCTGCTATCCCATTTCAGAGGGATGAAATAACAAAGAAATAAACCTGTATAAGGAGAATATGCTTCAGCAATGGAAATGGTTCTAGCATGTAAACACAGCAATAGCTAGATTTAAAAAAAAAACAAAATAAAACTAAAAAACTGGAATCAATGCCACAGAAAAAGCAGAAGAATAATCTCAAAAAAATAGACAAAATATTTCACAAGGCTGCATTTACCTGAGAAAATAGGACATGTAAGTGTATGGACAGTTGACAGCCCCAAATCCTGACAGCAAAGCCATGAGTGTCACCCCAATCACACCCACGCGGCTGATGAGCTGTTCTATAGACAGAATTCCTGAAAGAGGAGAAACACGGCATTAGTAACCTTGCTGCCTTAGCTCTGCTCCACACCTGGTGCCGTGACAACACAACGTATATACAAAGCTGCTTAACAATTCTGACTGCCTTCCCACTCCTATGACCAGAGGTAATAAGAAGTACAGACATGGACTATGAAAAGAAAGAGGTAGAAAGTGTCCCTCAGAAAGCATGTTACCATGCTTAGAAACAGGGATGGGAAGCTCTAGCTATGAAGAAGCTTAAGACAGATCTGGAGAGGAATAACGGTCAGTATTTTGGTTCCAAATTAATAAAACATTAGTGATTGCACCTTGCTGAGGTGGGAACACAGATCATCCACCAGCCTATACAAAGGAGGCATCTTCCACAAAGCCACTTCTGTAATAACCAGTTTTAGTTACCGAACGAGTTAGTCCTAGCAAACTGCCCCAAAATGTCTGAACCACAGAGAGGAACCTCTATCCTGACAATTATGATTAGAAGTGGCCCGTCAAGATCAGACATCATTTGCGTTAGTAGGACAGCATGGGAAGCTTATGCTGCTCCTGGCTGTTCAGTATTCATCTTGTGGACACACATGCAAGATCTGTTGAGATGACTCATCACTAAGGTACTCCACTTGAGCACCAAGTGGACTCTAAAACATGTCTTCATGCAATACGGCATGAATGTCAAGCCTGTGCTGTAACCAACACCAACACTGAAGTTGTATTTATTCTTCTCGGTCATTAAACACAGACTTCAACCTGTCTTCTCAGGATACAGTGCCATGTGCTACCAAATATCACTCACTTATTTAGGGAGCTAGTTATAAAGCAGCTGCCACACACAGCACATTTGGAGCTTACATGATTGCAAAGCTGAGATGGCCAGGCGCCAAGCCACATTTCATGCTTCAGAGAAGGGGAATAAATGATGAAAACATGGCAAAAAGACTTCACAAAGGGAGACCGAGACACTCAGTCATGTGCAACTGCACAGAGATTTACACAAGCTACAGAATGTGCTACAATACACTGGCCTTTTGCCCCACGCACTTTCAGACAGCAGCAGTTAAAATAGGCGTGCCTTCCAAATGACACGCCACTGGTTAAAGCAATGCTTCCCCCTAACACTCACAGAAATCCTACTCTTGCGATCAGGTCAGATAAAATGAATGTTTTATCAACTCTGATAGTTTTATTAGAATATTAGTACATAACTGAGTAAAGCATAACCTTCCTTCTACTACAAGTTCCCAAACTCAGGACTATTAAACAAGTTGCAGACCCAACAAGGCTCCTGACTTAGAGCCCTTGATTCATGGTACATTTCAAAGGGGCAGCACACTGCCACCACAATCCCCAGGCAAGCCTCCCCCTGGCACTCAATGTCAGTGCAGGTACTTGAAAGGGCCCCCAGTAGTCAGCAAAACTTTGTGCATGCAGGTGAGCAGGGTGGGGCACAGTGAAAAAGACACTACAATTAAGGTAATGCAGCGTGAGGGGCCTATTAAGCATGGCCTTCTGTCACGTCTCCCTCCACAAGAGCATCCCACCTGTCTGAACTGAGCCACCACCATGTGTTAAAAGGCCTGCAGCAGCCTTATCTGTACATGCAGGATGGCAGGGGGAAAAAAAACCCTAGAATCCTCTTCTCTAACCCTGTGTCTACACCTGGTAGGATACGGCACTGTCCAACTGCGAAGGTATTCCTGTAAAATACAAGTTAAAAATAGAAAACACCCCACTACAGGTTCTGGAAATCTGCAGTTGTTACGCAGCTTCACAGAACCTTCTCAGTGATGTGAAAAAGGTTACCTAAAACTCCTGGCTATATTCTGCCAGCTCAAGCACCTTCTGCACCTCAAAGCGGATAAATATTTATCTTGACAAAGAAACACTGGGCAGAGGGATTTGCACTACATATTAGCTATTCTGTTTCAGTAGCAAACGACACAGTTGCAAACACACATACAGACTTCCTCTCCGGAAAGTTTTGGGATCACAGATGAAAAGGTGAAGAGACCCCACAGTAGTTGGTGCCCATCAATTTTTCTCTTAAGAATCAGTGCGGAGTTAAGTAGCCTCCTAAAGAACAGTAAGCCAACTGTCAGCTAAATCTATGTAGGCAGACACAGTCACCAATTAGAGTGAAACTGACTGAACTTCACCTGTTGAGAACAATATGCAAACAATTTTTCAATCCGAGGTGACAAGCAGTCCTGTTCTCAGTATTACACAACACAGTTAGGTGCCCAAAGGATTCAGTAGTTGCATACATCTTAACAAGCTCTGTCAGACCCTAACTATCTCAAGTGCACACAGTATCCTTGAACTTGGTTCCGTGACTGTAATGCAGAGATACTCAAGTTAATTCTGCACATAAACAGCTTTGGTGTCCAGCAGAACTTACCAACTCACACTCCAGTATCATGCAACTGCACTGTCTGCAGACTCAGGCAGTGCATGAAGCTGTACCAGAGCTAGTATGCACTGCCTGACATGCTGCTGACTACAGCCGATACAGCTTTGGTGGTTAGGCACCTTGCCATCTTTTGTCAACTGAACAGCTATCTATGTTAAACCAATCTCATTTTAGCCACCAGAAACAACAATCTGTCTGCAAAAAGTCAGATGGAGGATTACTTGTCAATTCTCTTCTTACATAAATTAGTTTTAGTCTCCACACGAAAAGAAACAAGTGAATAAAAATGGTGATCAATGTTTTGTGGAGATGAAGGAAAGCCCTCAAAAAGTATACTGTGTTCTTAGGTTCAGTTAGGACACATTCACTTCCCTGAAGTTTTCCTGTGGTATTGGAAGAAAACTAATGCAAACAATTCAATGTATATCCATGCACTTCTGTCAGTCCAACAACCTTCAACTTGCAGATTTCAAAGAAGAACAGACCCTCAAGTGCACTAACTACTTTCTACAGTCCCAGCTATAGAGCTGAAATAGTATAATAATGGCTCCAAAATAAAAATGAGGTAACACAGCCTATTTTCAGGAGAGAATGAATGAGCAAGAACATGAAACTCACCATGCTTTGGGCTGAGGATAGGAAATGGATCCCCCAGCTTCCAGAAGAAATACATGAATGTCAACCACAGAACACATGCAAAAAGCAGTTTCTGTCTGTGTACTAATGGAGAGAAAAATAGTAGTATTTTAAAGAAGGTCTTCCTCTAGGGCTTTTTCAAGCTTGCAAAATTGCTACATCAGTCTAAAGGCTGCTTTGAGCACACGTAGGCAAAACAGGTGTCAACTGACAGAGCTACAGCTAGGAGTGTGCTCCCCTTCCCTTTCTACAGAACCAGCTATTTCAGACACCACTATCCAAGAGCTAATGCGGCAACACACCACTCTGGCTCTTCCCCATGGATACACGAAAAAGGCTGCACTGTCAACAGGGGATCACTTAGCTGTGCCTTTCTTGTGTGACCCTGAACAGGAAAGTTGGAAACTCCATCTTCATGCCAACACTACACATGTAATACTCACAACCTATATGCTTAAGCTTACTGCAAAAGAATGATTAATACCAATAGCTCAAGGGTAAATGTTCATTAGCACATGGAAGAGGCCTCATCCAGACAACAGTAAGCAAAAAAAAGCAGAAGTAATTCATTGAGCTTCTCTGCCTCATTTCTTCTACCCCCTAGCAGAACCACATAGCCCTGCCAAGGGTTACAGGGTTTGGCTGCAAGTTTAAAATTCTAAAGGAACAAATTCCAGTTATATTACTTTAAAGTGCTCAACTTTGTTGAAACCCATAAGGAAAAGCTACATTTGTTGGGGTCATGTAAAGTATCTCGTAACTGCCTGATAAACAGTTCATGGTAAAGAATTAAGTTCCAAATTGGAGTTACTCCATCAGAAGAGGAAGGAGAGAACTGTGGGTTCAGAACTATGGAACTATGGGTACAGTGACCAATTCATCTCTCTCTCAAAAAAGTTATTTCTCATTTGTACGCATAGTCTCACATTACAAGCCCCAGTTCCATAAACAAAGTACTCACATAATCTGATATTGCTCACAACAAAGTAACCAATGTAGAAGGGTACCATGAAGACTAGGATCAGCAAAATGACACACAGGTTCAGCTTCCAGTGAAAATATCGAGAGCTAAAATAAATCCAAAATACTGATTAGCATGCTATCATATTACAACAATTTTTTCAAAGACAATCACATGCCAATGCAACTCTTTCCACTACATCAAACATTGGATAATACTGGCCCAGCATATAGAATATTCTGGATTTTATTGTTGTTTAGGTTGGAGAGGGGGTTGCTTGTTTTGGATTTTAATGCAGAGCTCAAAAATGTGTATTTCAAAATTAACAATGACCCAGAAAAACTCAGAGCTATTTTATAAAACACTGTATTTTCTTTGGTGACTAAACTTTGGTTGCAGCACGATTCATTTAATTTTCTGTACATCTAGTTGAACAGTAAATCAAAACTAAGCATAAGCAATAATTAATTTTTTAATGAGTGGCTGAGCCAAAAAAAGGCTAATTCAAATAAAAAAGATGAAAAATATTTAATGTTCATAATTAATAATTCCACAAGTTTCACTTCAAAGTGAGTTGTCTCATACACAAGACATTGCAAAGCAAGAATTTAAAAATATACATGTATACCAAAAGGATCAATACTCCTATGATCAAAAGATACTAGTCAAATGCAGATGAGATTCATCTTGGCTAAGGTGACTTTTCACTCAGCTTGAATGGAAAAATACATGTCCTGTTCCCAATATTAACTCATATCCTCTTTATGCCTCAGGGAAGGAGAAATTATGAGGATCCTTGTCACTTTTTCTTAGCTAATTCAGGGGCAAACATTTTCATCTATATTGATGTCCAGCCCTTTACTGAAGCTCATAAAAGCATTCCCCTCAGTGATCCCTCCAGCTGCAAGCTCTGCAGATTAATAACATAGTCAGAACTAACATTACCTTTCATCAGTTTTGTACTTCCTGCCTTTCAACTCCTTTTACTGCTCTCTTTTACTAGTATGATGAGAGAGAACAAATAGGAAACCTAGCTAGACTCTACGTGTTACTGTCCTATCTTCTCTTTCCTACTGACTTCTGAAGGAGACAATTTTTAACATTCCCTTTAAGTAGAAGTCCTCACTCTATGTCTAGGGAGGATGTGCCTTTGATTCACAAATATCATATTGTTACAGAAGCAGATTTCACTCCACAATTACCTTCACATCTTGTTCACTGCTCTGATCACCACAGAAAAACTAGTGCTTATAGTTTCTATAGTTCTTAACACCTGGGAAGTGCTCTTCAGCATGATCTGAAACTTTACAACACTCCTGTTAAAGGAACAGTTTCTTGTAAATTCTCAAAAGGGAAAAGTCAAAGACTAACTCCGTGCCCTAAGGACCAAGACCACAGTAACAGCAATTGCATGAAAAATCAGAAGCTTATGGCTTCTAGTCTCATGTTGTTTCAAAAAAATCCTGCTGCTCAAACACCTTTGTTGAGCTGTTGATAATTTGCTCACGTAATTTCTCCTAACTCAAGACTACCCCATTGATTCAGATTTTGGACTGAAGCTGCTGAACACAAGGCAGGCTAGTCCTTGAGTGTGCTCCTAAACTCACCTGCTGTTCAGCACCCCCAGAATCTCAAAGATGATGAGTTCAAACATGGTACAAGAGAAGGCAAACGTAACAGAAAAGATCACCTGGACCACATACTGTCGCACCTGCAATAGAGAAAACAAGCCAGAGACATCAGGCATTTCCGTTCCTAGAACAGCATTCTGCTATCCCTGTGGTAAAAAAAAAAACTAATCACAAGGTACAGTGGCATACAACTGGGTTTCTTGCTTCAAGGCAGCTTGCCCTTTATCTAAGTGGGAAGAAACCAACTGCCTGTTAGAAAGCAGAGAGCAATTCATACGTTGCTCAGAATTACACTGATTGCAGCCATTGACACATTTAACAGGAACGCCTTACACAGAATGGATGTCAGGCATGCAGTGCCCTGCTTTAACTTGACTAGTGATAGACCTTTGCTAAAAGGGCTCTTTGATCTTAACCTTAGGATTTAAAAATAAGATCCACATCAGATCCCGATGGATCTGGATTTGGCTGGCACTCAAGGCATCTCTGACCTAGGTGATTTTCTCTTATACCCCTCTAGGGATAAGAGAACACAACAGTTTTATTCCATCTGATCCTCACCAACAATTCAGCCTCAATGAACACAACTCACTGAGTTTAAAGTTAACCACTGAATTTTATTTTGTCACCAAAATTTTACAATTGCAAAAGGCAGTCTTACTTAAGCATAAGGCAAAACAGTTTCCTATTATCCCTGCACATCCTTCAATTTTTTTTTCATTTAACAGTAACCAATATGGAAATTCACTGGCCCCAGAAGAACCCACTTCCTCAGATAACTAGGAGTCTTTCAAGTAGAAGAACAAAAAGAAATTAAAAATAAAGTAACTGTAGAGACAATTAAAAATAAGAGGGCTTAAAGCGAGAAAAAAGGCCAAATGCAATTTCAAAAATATTTCTGTAATTGGAAGTAATATTTAAGATATAGAATTTTAATGAAAGGCTGTTCCTCACCTCATAATCCTTGAAGAGCTTGCGCATGAAGAACAGCCACCCAAATCCAAAGAACAGCACCTGCAAAAGAGATGAACCACTTAATGCTTGTATCCAGCAGCTTGCAAAATATAAAGTTACTTCATTTCTGACTGGAGATGAAAGAAATCAAAGGAAAAGAACTGGGCCAAGGTACCCAAGATCCACTGGAGAATAAAACTTGCTATGGTACCAGCGAGAGAATGATATTCTGAATATTCACATGTAGCAAACACAGAACGCTATGACCTTACATAGATCCAGTCAAGTCAGCCCATTTCTGCATTCCCAAGTTTTCCTCAGTTCCTGGCATGCCAGAATCCTTGACACTTAAGATTCTTGTTTCACTAATCTAGAGAATTAAAACTTACAGTTTTTACACGAAACACAGTAACAGAGACAAAGTAAACACCTTGATGTCGACAATGTACACAACTTCTAGGGATAAGCAGATTTTATTAAAATATCTGCTGTTTCTTTACAACTAGAAGTGCATTTAATTTTTCTGGGGAGGTCCTAATACTAGATTTGATTACATACCAAGACATGTGGGAGAAAGGTGTTAAAAGCATCTCTAAGGTAGTGAAAAGGCAGTGTCAAATAACTCAGACCACAATAGAGTTGCAGAAAGCCACAGAGAAAAGGTAGGTAAGGCAGGACAAGCCAATAACGCTTTTCATTTCCATGGCTCTCAGAGCACTTCACAAAATTCAGTTAAGTTTCAACACACACCTGAGATGATGGACTTAATATCACAGTTATTTTGCAGATTAGTTAAATGAAATAAATACAAATTGAGCATTGTGGTCAAAACTGTAACTACCCATCATTAGCCTGAAAAAGGAGACAGGGTTGTCAGGCCTTCCATGGGTCGCCTCATCTGTTCCTCAGAATATTGCAAATGAGTGTAAGGATCTAAAAGAACCCCAGTAAAAAGAGGCTTCAGAAGATACTAAAAGTTTTTTATAAAGGTAGTTTTGACCAAAGTAAAGAGTAAAATCAGTATATGTCAGAAAGCATGGGACAAAGCCAGCACTTCTCAAGAACACATGGAAAAGGCCAGAGCATTCTGGACCCCTGTGAAGACAAAAAACTTTCAAAGACAAAAATACATCAACCATTGTGGATTATTCCACTGGGCATCAGGAGCAACTGGATCCCAGCAATGTCATTTAAACATGATTTACAGACAAAGAATACCTGGAAAGCTGGGCAAGGAAGATCAGACATACTTGTCTTGAAAGAAGAACTGAAATACGAATGAGGTCTGGTGATTGTTAACAGCTGGCAACTCTTGTTTGAGGAGGACTTCAGACTTTGAAGTAATTGATAGCAAAAAGAAAAGGTAAGATATTCCACAAGCCTTCTATCTACAAGTCAGAAGTCAAAGTATGATAAGCAAGTGATATTTACACTGAGTAATTCCACGTTTAACAGTGTAAAGGAGGAAAAAGGTAGAGACAAATATTTTGAAAAGAAAAATGCAAATAAAGTAAAAGAAAGGGATGGGGAGATAATCAAGCACAATAGCAACAGAGAAAGTTAATATATTAACATTAGATTCCCCTTGGGTTAGGGACTGTACAAAAACAGAGAAAGACATTATCTTCAGAGTTCACACACCACGACATGACAGGTGACTGTGACATGTTAAGTCTGAAAACTCTTGAGCGTTTGACAAGTACATGCAGCAATTGAAATATCAAACAATACATTTGAAGATGATGATAAGATGCAAAGCTGCCATCACAAATAATAATATGAAAAAACCCAATTAGATAAGTTAGATCTTAGAATACAAAGCAAATGATAGGGACAAAAATCCAAGCATTATCTAGCAGGAGGACCTTGTACCTCCAAGAAACGGCTAAAAGCTGTCCTGAAATCCATCAGGAAAACTAAAGTTGTACATGAAAGTCTATATAAGGAAATAAACTACTTTTGAGAGGGGGGCAAAGGTCCTTTTTCCTCAGCTCATCCTTCCTCATTACAGAACAAAAATTTCATACCCACTCTGAAGATTATCAGATCCCTCTGTGATGCAGTTAAACTAATTTAAATCAAGTACTAGAAAGAGCACAAATAAGAGAGCGTGACTGTGCAGCAAATTGAAAATGAAGAACGAGCAGAACTGTTCTCTTTGGGCAGAAGCAAACAGTTGGGCCACCACGGTTGCCAGACAGGAAAGAAAGGATGGAGGGAGTGGGGTAGCAGGGAGGAGAGAAAGGTCAAAGAGAACACACTGACAAGATAAATTACCAGTAAAGTAAGTCAATGAACAAGGAGGAGTCGTTTCCTCCCAACAAACAGTACAACTGTTTCATGTTAAGACTTCAACACACTTCATAATGATAAAAACAGAATGATGAACTCAGGCAGCGTAAAACAAGCCAATGCTGAAAGATGACTTTGATGGCTGAATGCTAAATCACAGACAGATCGGTGGAGAAAAGAGATTTGTTAGTGGTGTCTTTTTAAAGCTGTAAACAAGAAAGTTCCTCAGTAGCAAACCAGAGGAAGAAAACACAGATAACTAGCCTTTTGGAGACACACCAGAAACAAAGCAAGCACTACAGAGAGAAAAGCAGGATGAACTTTCCTGTCTGCTCCAACAGCGAAAAACCTCAGTGTACAGAAGTGATACAACATCAGAGGGAAAAGCCCCGCCCCCCCCCCAGCTGCTTCACTGA